CACAATTTTGAATTACTGCTGTTATTCCCTTTTTTTTTGGGTAAAGATGTTCATGAACAGAGAGGTTAAATATAATTTACTACTAACTGTCAGAGCTCTTCACATTCAGATCTGGGATTTGGCATCTGGTATTTGACTTCAAGAAATTTAGCTTGAAGAAATTAATTGGATTTGATTTCCTGCTTGGTTTTCTATTTCATTGTCATCTTTGATTGTATGTCTTGCTGTAACACTGCCTTAGCATCCTATAACTACCATTACAGAGTTATATTACCTTATTTTATTGTTGATAGGAAGATGACATAAAATATCCAGTTTATCAGTTTCCTCTTCTATTAACTCTTGCACCAGGTGTATTACATGATAATGCTTCGCATAAATGCCTTAATGGAAAGAAAATTAGAAGTTAGAAAATTTTGACCCTGCTAGGGCAGTTGTTTCTGTTATGTACACTAGGAGTTCCTAAAAACTGAAATATTTGAAAGTTCAAATATATCCATAACAAGGAAAATTATAGTACTGTTTCTCTTTTGTGTTTCAGGCAGGATGAACAAGAAATAATTGTATTTTTCTCAAAATTTGTGCTAGCTACCCATATAAAGTTCATCATTCTGGACATGTGCTATGGTCAGAAGGACTGTTGATGAGATTTGTTTAATTTTTCCCTGTTTTTCATTCTTTTACATTGTTAGTGCCCACACAAAAGAATAACTATACATGAAACATTGCTTTTGAATTTTAACATATTTCTTTTGTCCCTAGGAGGGATATCTTACAGTACTGTAAGGTTATTTTTTTAATAAGAATTATAGTCCTGCATGTTCTGTCACTATCAAATTTTTACTGATAGAAACCTATTGATAATGTAGTAGTTGTGTTCAGTGTTTAGGGCTTACCTTGAAACTTCCATACACAATAATCTCTCTTCTGACTAGTTGTTCCTGTTTGTAAGGTAGTTATCATGTTAAGGGGTGTGTGTAGTGGAGGAGTAAGAGTTTATCCAAATAGGAATGAACTTTCTGTCTTGATTTCATCAACCCTGGTAATATACTGATTGGATCTGATAGCTCTGGTCATTGTGTACTTCTGTAAGTATGATTCTCTGATTGCCTCTTTGGCCCAGTTGCCAGCAAATTGGGGGTCTTAAGTCCCTATAAGTTTCTAGTTTATTCACTGCCCCCCCAACAAAAACCTTTATCTGTTTTTAACTATATTTTATCACCTTTTTGAACCTCCTAAGATTTTCATCTCCTTTTTCTTCCCCAATTCCAGATAACTTTCTAGTATTTAGTATCTTTGTGGAAATAGCCTTTTATTTTTCTATACCAATTTTCAATGCCTTTTTTAAAAGACTGAGACATTTACTTGCTTTCCTATATCACTGGTCATGGATTATGTCACAGTTATGAGTGGTAAATCTTACATGTCTCAAGAACACATTAGCATTATTGAAGTGACTGTGGCATCCTGTGGAGAACTTGAGGCTTTAGTTATAACCTTAAGAACTCTTGGTTTTATGGCCTCATTAAAGCCTTTTTTTTTTTTTAAGTGTGCTTTGGCCCAGGGATTTGGCTCAGTGGTTTTGCCACCAACCTTGCCAAGTGCAAGGTCCTGAGTTTAATCCCTGGTACCAAAATGTGTGCTTTGCTGGGATGTAACTTTCCCAAATGTGAAAGCATTTGTGGTCCTGCATCTTATATGAAATATGCTTTTCTCCAGCATATCATTTATTTAGTGTTGCTTATTTATGTAAATTCATTACGTACAAATTAGGCTGGTCCAGTTCCTACTTGTAAATGAGGAATCTGAGGTGCAGAGGTCACGAGAATTAAACAGCTATTATATCTTAGAGCCAAAATTTTGAACCTAAGTTTGATTCACAGCAAAACTCAACATCCAAGTTTACTCACTCCAGTAACAGGCCTTTCTCTCATCCAGCACAATGAAGCTCCCTTTGTGTATTCATTCAGTGTGCCTCTGGAAACCCCACAGGAGTCTTTCTCCTTAGCCTGTCTTTTCCAAAAACACCAACTTTACTTGGTAAGAAGGGAAACACAGCAAAAGCTGGTTTTCCAACTTGGTAGTGTCCTGGAAATGGAGAATAAGGATCTAGGGCAGTAAGAGAAGGGCTGGGGGTCAAAGGAGGCTTGTTGGAGAAAGTATGATACATGGAATTAATTTTAAGATATGGAACCTTTGGAGCAATGGTTTAGTGAAAAGGCCTTCACTCTCATAGGATGTATTTATCCATCCTCTGTGTAGGTGCAGACCAGAAGCAAACGTTGAGTTTCTTTTATTCTCCTTGAATCAGCATCCAGGAAGTATTGCATGCCTTCTGTATTTACTTAATATGCAAACAGTGACTAAAAATGACTAATTTTGAAATAATCATGCAGATATCTATATACAGATAAGCCTCATTAACTCAAAGGCAGCAGCCCTGTTGGGCTGTGATGATTATTCAAGCCATTTCTGACACTCTACATCCGGTACTGCATTCATAGTCTGCAAAAGCCTTTTTTGTTTTTTGTTTTTAAATAGTCACTACACTTCCTCCTTTGAGGGAATGTTTGATTTTTAGGAAATAGGCAAATGTGGTGAATAAATATGATTAAACTGGCAATAACTGTTAGACAAATAGGGAAAAATAAAAATACAGCCATGTGATCATAAGACTAAGACTGACTTTTACAGTGTTTTTTATGGTTGGACTGAAAAATCTCCAACATTTGTAAATGTTTTAAACCACCATCCACTGCAATAGCCCCTGAGCCAAATGTGCCTTTTGAGTACTCAAAATGTGGTAAGAATGAATGAGAGACTGATTTTAATTTTACTGTAAATAGTCACACATGACCTGTAGGTAGCTACTACGCTAGGAACAATTTTAGACAAGGACAATAGTATTTGAAAGGCACTTGATGTACTGAGAACTGTTTTACCCAGTTTTAACAAGGTTCTGTTGGCTGGTGAAAAGACTTAATGTTTACAGCTTGTAATGTACAATAAAGAACGAATGTTAATTACTGCCAAGGCATGCAAACACTGCTAACTCTTATTAGGAATGAAGACAGAAATAGTGGCCCTTCCTGCTGAATGAGAGGTAAGGAGCATAATAGGAATCTTGATTTTTTTTTTTTTCAGTCGGTAGTCTCATATTATTCCCCAAAAGTAGGTTGTTTGACATTAGCTATCATGTAAAGACAAGGGAAAAATGAGGATGAGAGGGGGTATCCTTCCCTTCACTTCATAATTTTTGTGATGTGTTTTATAAAACTAAGAGTCTGAGTGACATGTTCTGCAACTTTAACTCACAATCCAAACAACACCTTAGAGTACTTGGGGGCATGCGCACTTATGAAACCTGGAATATTCCAAAACAACAAGGCCAGTATTAAACTAGAGTCCCCAAGATAGGTTGTAGAAAATGTTGCTTGCTAATTTAAATATAGCTGAGTAAAAACAAAGATCAGAATGATAGGAAGAAAATATGGTTTTCATCCCATGTAAGCCAATAATTAATAAGGATATATTAAAATTTAGTCACTTTGGGTATATCAGAACATTTAAATGCCATTATAGTCCACCTAAATTTTTCTTACGAAGAAATTTATTTTTATTCAAGCATTATTGTCGAAGTTTGGTGTCTTTGTTTAAGTTATTTCCAAATCAGTATTTCTGGGACCCTCCCTCAGCTTCCATAGTTTTTTTCTAGGAAGCGGTTATTGCGTGACTCATATGCCTTACTTTGATATTTTGGGAAGTTTCTGTTTTTTTTAGGAACACTGTCACATCAAGCTTTTAAAGGCATATTTGTTTAATGAGACATTTACATTAAATCGTGCTTTTAAAATATATTTAGTAGGCGCCCACTATATACGAGAAATTGTACCACTTACTGAGTATAGAAAGTTCAAAGAATGGTCTTAAAGAGATTTTTGTTCCAATTATCAATATGGTACCTGTATCCAAAGTTGTAGGGTTTTACTGTTTTTTCCTAAGCATTTTATGATTCTAGCCCAGTGCATCTTAGTTGATTCTTTGTGTATGATAAGAGAAGAAAGTCAAAGCTTGCTATTTCCCATATGGCTAGCCAGTAGTTTCAGCATCATTTACTTAAAGCACTTCTTTTCTCTGTTGAATTGTCTTGGCTTCGTTGTTGACAAAATTTATTTCTTTAGCACCCTAGGCTGCTTGACACTGTCTTAAGCCTTTGCTCTTGCTGCCCCCTAGGCCTGGTGGGGTGCCTCTTGTCTAATTTTTTCTTGTCCTCAAGGTTCAGTAGAAAATTGCTGCTGAGCGTGGTAGCAGTGTGATGGCACAGGCCTCTAATTCCAGCACTCAGAAGGCTGAGGCAGGAGGATCACTGCAAGTTTGTAAGTTCAAGGCTAGCCTGGACTACATAGTTCAAGGCCCGCGTGAACTACATTGCAAGACCCTGTCTCAAAGAAAACAACAAAAAAATGCTTTTGGTGTGTCTTCCCTTATCACCTTTACCACTACCACACCCCTCACCTCCCCACCAGAAGTTTCCGCAAGGCTGAGAGAGATAGGAACCTCTGATGATTCACTTAATAACTATCCATTGAGTTCAAAGACCAGTAGTAGGAAGACAGTGGAAAAAAAGAGGAAGGACAGTGGTAAAGAGGGAACAGCATTTATGGTGAAGTTTAAAACAGACCTACACGAGCTGACGTATGGCTTGAAACAAGTTTCTTAATGCCAGTAGAACTAGCCTAGCAGTTACATTCAGCTTTGTACTCACCACTGCATCATCATTTTCTGTATACTGTACTTGCTTCCCTTATGAGATGTGGACCTCTGTGGACCAGTTTATTCTTATTTGCTGTTTTAACTACCTGCATTGCTAGAGCCTACTATACAGTAGATAGCAATGTAGATGTTATTAAGGTGTGAATGGACCTTGTAAACAGACTTTGACTCAAAGCTCCATTTTATTATTAAACATGTTTGGTGTCTCTGAAATTAAAAGTGGTCGTTAGATGGAAGAATTAATTTTAGTTGTCATTATTTTCTTATAGGCATTTGTAAAGGATGTTCATGAAGATTCAATAACAGTTGCATTTGAAAACAAGTAAGTGTCTTAATGTTTCATTTTAATGTTCAGGTTCCTTGTATTTTTATGCTAATTCCTTTTTGCTGTGCTTTTTTTAATTCAAGTCTAGTTTGAATATTTTTCATGTTAGTGACCCAAAAAGTATCTGAAAAACTCAGCATTAAACCAATGGAATAGCTAGCCCTGCTAATGATCTCATTGCCCCCTATTATTCTTGATCTTTACTGTAGTCCCCTTGACTGGAAAGAGCCCAGATGGTTCTGTGTGTGTAACTGAGAGTTTAAATAGGAATGTAGTATTTCTAATTTTCATAAAATATGGAAGTGAAGGGATTCATGGCTATTGGTAGATTTATATATATTTGTAATCTTAAGTCTCAAATTGATGTTTTTCATTGTCTAGTATATCAGAAACAGTTGTTCACCCATGAAATATTTTTGTTTCATATATTTATAATCAGTAATAATAGCCAATCTTCTCTGCTTTCTATTGCTATATCAGAAAACAAAAGGGCTGGGGATTTAGCTCAGCAGTTCGGTGGCCTGCTTTGCAAGCGCAAGGACCCGAGTTCAATCCCTGGTACCCAAAAAGAAAAAAAAAATACAGATCACAATTCACAATATGTTAGCTGTGTGAAGACATCAGTTATATAGATATTAACATTTTGGGGGGAAGAGAAGTTTTGTTAAGTAAGTTTTTTGAGTACTAATAAGGACCATTTTCGTAGAAGCCATTCAGAACACTAAAGTATATATGAACTCGTCAGCTAAAATGTAGATATGGTCACGATTTTCTGTGATTTTTGCTGATCTCTGATCAATGGTAGGCAGTTACAACATTTTGACTTTTTCTGTACTAAATGTCAAAAGCAGGCTGCAAAAATATAGAGAAAGTAGATTAGTGGTTGCTTTGTACATACTTGAGGGATGCAGAGCATAGCCGAAGAATACAGGATTTCTTTTTGAGGTGATGAAAATGTTGTAAAATTGACTACTAATGATTGTATATATCTGTGGACATACCACAAACCATTGAGTTGCATGTTTAAATGGGTTAATTATGTGGTATATGGACTGTATCTCAAATCTGCTAAAATGGAGTGTGTGACACAGACATTCTGAACAATAAAAATATCTTCTAAAAATTAAACGCAGCCCTGCATTTCAGTGTCTAGAAAATTTTGTAATTAATTCTAAGCAAGTCCTTTCAGCTAGCAGCAGGAAAAAGCAGCACCCTTAGAAGCCTAAGACAAATTTAGAGGGACAGAGATAAAAGGATTGAGAATACACAGCCCTGTTCCCAATTCTGTCTAGACTGATAATCTCAGTTTAAAATACAAGTTTGAATAGCAGAAGATTTTTCTCTGAATATATAAAGCCAAAAGATAACAGAACTTGGCTTTTTACTGTTCAAGTAACCATGATTATTAATAGGCAACAACAGTATCGTACCTCTGTTGAAGGAATCTTTGATTATTTTGGGAGCCTTTTTTCTCTTGTAATGACACTATTATCTGTTTACTTCCCTAAGTAAATACTATTTCTCATAATAGGACAATTATCCTTATTTACCACTGTTAGTTTCTCCCGTACTGTGTAGTCTCAAATCCTAGTCAAGTACTCATTTCCTCTATGCATGTAAGAATGTGTCTAATTTATTTATACATTGATTTATCAAATCAGTTCTTTATGGTTTTCAATCAAATTTCTGCTAAAATCTTACTGCCATAAACTTAAAAATATCCCATCTGTTGACTTCCTAATTATTTACCTCCTGTACTATATCTGCATAAAAGTTTCTCTTCCTGTGTCTGTCATCCTGGAAATTTGAAGTAGATAAGCTGTTTTTCCTTGTGTTCATGGAGTATGTTTGGGAATACGACACTGACTTTGAGCACATAGCTGGGATTTGATAAGTCCTTACAAAAGTAGTCTCTGCTCTTTTTTTTGTGTATTTCCCTTCTGTTTTTCTGTCAGAAAACAAACAAGACAAAGAACAGTGTTTGATAGAACTTCATGTGATAGTACTCTTTCTTTCTTTTGGGTCATGAAGAAATTCTTACTCTAATACCAGATTGTTTTAGGTGCTTCTTTACCTTCCAGATTTCACATTGCTGAGTAATGAATTTTTATATCTATGCATTTTGGAATTGAAATTGGTTTCCTTTTTTGAAACCAAGAAAATTATCTTTTGCATTATCGTAAGCTTTATAAATCAGATTTACCAGTGAATTTGTAACATGTTAAAAGTCACCAATTTTCAATAAATATAAAAAAAATCTTTTTCTGAAGTAAAGAATTTGTTTTAGAATTTTATAGTTATCAAATGTGCATAATATCAGAAGGGGACAGTCTAAAATCAGCTCTAATCAGATCTCCACAAACTTTGACTTAATTACTTGCTCTCAACGTTTTTGAAAAAGAACTGCAAAAAAAATTAGTCCTTTCCTCAGTTGGAAGAAAGTCTTTTCACAAAACAGATATATATGCAACCAGTATTTGCTGATGAAATGCTCCCAAAAGAACCCAGAACTGACTGCTGTAGCAGTTGAACCCTCTCATTTTCTCAAAGTTTTGCTCTTAACATTTTATATCTCCATGGGCATAGAAGAACAATTTGGTGTCTTTCAAAGTTGTTCCATATTATTTTAAATTTCAAAACATAGACAACTTAATTGAACTCCTGTAGGCTGTCTCCATCTGGTTTCCGTGGTTTAGGAGACCCCACCAACCCAGTGCATGCTGATACCTCATACTGATCAGCAGCCCGCTACCCATGGCAAGAATTGACCTGCCTCGTGGGATCTAAAATGTAAAGGGGGAAAAGTGAGTTGTAAGTTGCTAATGTGCCGGCTGCCCCATTTTGCTTGGGAATTAGCGTTTTTTTTGGTTGTTGGAATGTGGTTAAAATTCCTTTGCAAGTAGAAGTACGTTGATGACATTACTAACCCTTAACTGATACTAACATTAAATCATCTGCGGACATTTCTGTTGTGGGCTTCTGTTTAAAACTCTTAGAAGTTTAAATTACTGGAAGAAACACATTCTTGAAAATCAGTTGTTGATCTGTGTTTAGAGAAATAGCCCAAATGGAAGCACAAGGCTGCTGTCCTGCATGCAGACTTTGTTGCAGTGCCTTTATATTGATTGCACTTAGCAGAAGCGGCCATTTTAAAGTATTTGCTTCTTTAAACAAGATAGAAAGGGTCCCGCTTAACCAAAAGTTGATGGCAGCGTGGCCACTGTTTCATTTAAATGCCAAAACCATGTTCAATAATTTGACATTTGCTTATTTGCAGCTGGCAACCAGAGAGGCAGATTCCATTCCATGATGTGAGATTCCCTCCACCTGTAGGTTACAATAAAGATATAAATGAAAGTGATGAAGTTGAGGTGAGTTGCCTCTGCCCTAAACCCTTAAAGAAGTGGAAGTATTTCATTTGCCTGGGTGGTGTTTTTATACCTTGCCTTTACAGTTTAGTGATTTGAAATGGTACATGCTGCTTAAATTGGAGTATTTGAGCAGCACTCAAAGGAATTATTCACTGCCCCAAGTACCTTTGCCCAGTAGTCCTTCTTTCTCCCTTTTCCCCTCAATCTCTGAATTTTTCTTTGAATGATATACTGTTCATTTATAACTGTCCTCATTTTAAGCAAGATGGATTAGGACAATTAATTTTACAAAAGGAAGAGAATCATGCTACTTAACAGAGAAGTAACCTAGAACTTCTTTTAGTAGCAGTGAATCTTTCTGATATATAGATACAGATATTAAAAAATTTTAAGCCTTCCATTTCTTTTTATATATATAGGTAAAACCTTTTTCACAGGTTGTACTGTGAAACATCTGCTCATACGCCTCTTGAGGTTTTTGACCAAAAGGTTCTATGAAGATTTAGTATATGATCAAAGTCATTATGTTTGTTATTTCTCTATTATAAATTGGTTTTATATTCAAGGCACTTACAGTCTGCTTTGTATTACAGTTTTTGCAGCATTCCTCTCCTTTCTGCCCTTTGGCACACTCCATTTTGGACTGTTGCTTTTTTCTCTCCACAACACATATAATGCCTTGATAGTAGTTGCAACTTCTTTATATCTATAGTATGAAGAAAGCACTAAGTAGACATTTTAGTGGTAAGTCATTATGGTACATGGTCCTTGAATTCTTGTCTTCAGCTCTAGCTACCAAATGTACAGCAAAACGGGACAGTCTCCTGCCTTTGATAATATCACGTTCTAATGGGGATAACTAATATGGCATGTGAAAGTCATGAAGGAAAAAAAAAAGCAAGATGGAAGGTAATATAGGGGTGGGAGTATTGTTTTAGAGTCGTCATGGAAGGTCTCTGAATGTGCAGGCCTGTGTTCTTCTCTCTACAGTGTAAAAGTTGAGGTAGATATAAAGTATTTATTTACCATATGTATATTGAATACCTACTAGGTGTAAGCAGCTGGGCTTGGTTTTGCAAGGGATCCTAACAGCAGGCAGAAACACTGTCTTCTAGGCCTTTAGTTGTCTACTTCCCCAGAAGACGATAAGCTCTCTGAAGGTGAGGACCAGGTCTTTTGGACTATCAGGAGCATTCATAATAGCATTTGATGGAGGAGCAAAGGGGAACTTTGTTTTTCAGCTTGGTCACATGACATTGCTAAGATGACTTAGTTATAGAATAGTTAGCCAAGGTTATTTCTCTACTTGTTCAGCAAAGTTAAGACAGAACAATAGAGATAAGAGGGTAAAGTAGGTTAAGTTGTATTTAGTTAGAGTATTATGTAACTATTAACTTGGATGTAAAAGAGAGCTGAGTTTGAGCCTTGACTAGCTTTTTTTCTCCATACATACTGTATTGTCTTTTTTCCTGTTAACCTTGATTTGCTAGTGTCTTCACAAAAGGTTCCATGCTGCACATCATAAGTGAACTTTGAAGTGGTCACCAGAGAGATCATTTTAGAAGAACTGATCCATAGTGTGTGAGAGAGCAGGAAGGTGATATCCAGAAGATTGCCAGTGTGGATTTGGCCTTTTTAGTGCAGAGGAGTCAGAAGACCAAAGAGTGATCAGGGATCTGTCCATTTAGTCTCCAGGAGACATAAAGGCCAGGATGGCGTCCCTAGTGGGCAGAGTGGTCTTAACATTTAGTGACCAGGGTCTGAAAGACAAGATTGTACATTTTAGGTACATCTATTAGCTAAGTACTAAAAGTATATTAATGTTTATGAATAGTTAGCTTTTCTTAAGCATCCATATTCAGGTACTGATTATTGCTGAAAATAGGAAAATGGCTTTTAACATGGAGCACCCAGGAAATCTCAGATAATTTCTGATTATGTATCTTTGTCTAACCCAGGTTACACAGATATTTGGTCGAAGGCATATCCTGTGTGATTCATTGGATGAAATTTCCTCAATGTTTAATGATTAAAGATTTCTAAATTAAATTAATCATAAAATATTCTGTTGTAATTTTCATGTAGGTTTATTCCAGAGCAAATGAAAAAGAGCCTTGCTGTTGGTGGTTAGCTAAAGTGAGGATGATAAAGGGTGAGGTAGGAAACCACTTAAATTTTCTTCTTATACTTTTGCTGTTTTCTGGCCTAGGTACCACATTTCAGTTTGGAGTTCTATTTTGAATTAATAACACCTGAGTCATTCTATTAAATTTTTTTGCTACATTTTCAGTATGTTTCATGTGTTTCAGTTGATTAAAGTTTGTTGTTTTTGTCTAGAGAATTGTTTTTTAAATCGAATAGGAGTAGAGAAACTATTACTAAGAATAACTTATTTCTTTCAGTTTTATGTGATAGAATATGCAGCATGTGATGCTACATATAATGAAATTGTCACAATTGAGCGTCTGCGATCGGTTAATCCCAACAAACCTGCTACGAAAGATACTTTCCATAAGATCAAACTGGAGGTGCCAGAAGACTTGAGACAGATGTAAGTTATAAATGAGAAATGCTGAGAATGTCCAGGTGATATAAAGTTAATTTAAAAAAATATAAATTTCAGAATAGTACAAGTTAGCCGGTATGGTGGTGCACACCCATAATCCCAGCACTAGGGAGGCTGAGGCAGGAGAACTGCCAAGAGTTCCAGGCCAAAGTGGGCTACACAGTGAGTTAAGGCCAATGTGAGCTACATAGTGAGACCCTGGCTCAAAATACAAGCCAACAAACAAATACCAAAATACTATAAGTTGATATTTAAATTCAGTGAACTTTGGCAAAATTGTTTGATTCATAAAAGCAGTGGGGAAAAAACTTACTTAGCTTTTCCTAGTTATATAATCAAGCCAGCCTTGTATTTGTTTCAACTTACTTAGGTAGATACATGGCCATTATTCATAATTTATATTTGTTTTATGAAATGATCTTTTTCATGAGATTTTGAAACTGACAAAACAGATGTGATAATTCTACATAAATTACAAGTCAAAATTTTAGACCACACATATTTCTCCAGGTTTTTTCCTTGTTAGCTAAAACATTATCAGATAAGTTGGTAATGAGAAGAGCCAGAGATACTTGAGAAGGTCATCTTTTTCTTGATCTGGAATGATAATTTTTTTTTTTTTTTTTTTGGTACCGTGGAATTTGGAACCTTGCGCTTGCAAGGCAGGTGGTGGCACCACTGAGCTAAATCCCTGGCCCAATAATTAACAGTTTCAAAATGGGTATTATTTTTTAAAGATTACAGCAAGGGGCTAAAATGAGTCTGATTTGGACATAATGCATCACCACAGATGGTAAATGTTCAGGTTACATGGAAATCCTCCTTTTGATTCTAGAGATCATGTGTGTATAAAAATTCTTATGCCTTTTCATTCATATACATCTTTTCTTTAAATTGGTCAGCTGTTTTTCTTTAAAAAGTTAACAAGAAAATCACATATGTGGTAGCTATCCTCATAAGTTTTCAAACATTGACTCAAGAAAAAGACATCATAATACAGTGCCCCATGTGTACCTATGTTTATAGCAACACAATTCATAATAGCTAAACCCTGGGAGAGGCCTGTATATCCATCCATAGATCAATGAATGAAGAAAATGTATTTATACACAATGGAGCTCTACTCTATCATAAAGAAAGATGAACTTGAGTCCTTCATAGGAACATGGATGCACCTTGAGACCATAATATTAAGTGAGATAAATCAGACATACAAGCTTAAATACCACGTTGTTTCTCTTATGAGAAATCCAAAATGTAAATAAAGAGCAAACTAAAAAGTAATAGGAAATAGGGAGATAGATCTTTCACAAATGGAAAAGGGACCAAGTGATGGGGGGAGTGGATGAAAAAAGAACTGCTCTGTGTTCGATGCATTTTCCAACCCTCCACAAGGGAGGTAATCATTATGTACTGCAAACGTGGACTAAGAAAAACTGAAAGAGAAAAAAAACTACTAACTTAACCCTCTGCAATTGAAATTGAGAAGCTTGCAGAGGAGAGAAGTTCCCCTTTGGTAATATAAGCCCACCTAAACCTAACCTTTTAAGACCATGACCGGTCTTTTCTTCTTTCTTTATAATATCAAATGCTTGATTTGACTATCTCAAAGATGGATAGCAAAGGAACTAAACTTGTAAATGGATGTAATATTCAGCATAAATGAAATGTAATGTGAATCCATGATTCTTCTATGTATACATTTATCTGCGTGTATTTATACCAGTAGTTGATAATCATTTATCTTAAGAATGGATTTTTTTTTTCAATCTCTAGGTGTGCCAAAGAATCGGCACATAAGGACTTTAAAAAGGCAGTTGGTGCCTTTTCTGTAACTTATGATCCAGAAACTTACCAGCTTGTCATTTTGGTGAGTGTTTTGAGCTATTTTTGGTTTATTTCATGTAGAGTGTTTGGCGTGATAATAATGCTGTTACTTAACATAAATCATTCAGTCCATCAATGAAGTCACCTCAAAGCGAGCACATATGTTGATTGACATGCACTTTCGGAGTCTGCGCACTAAGTTGTCTCTGATGCTGAGAAATGAAGAGGCCAGTAAGCAGCTGGAGGTACGTTACTTTCCTTTGCATGTCTTGTAGTGCTGTCTAGAAATGATCATTGTAGAGTTCTAAAGCTTGCATATGAGCAGCTTGTAATTTATTTATTCTTAATTCCTTATAGTTTGGAAAATTAAATGGTACAAAGCATAATCATACTAAAGTTTTTGTGCCTGAGGTTTCAAGAGTAAGTAGCAGATTGTGTACTTTAAGGAATTTTTGGTCAAGTCATTCTTGCTATAAGTTGGTCAAAGCTGCTAGTAGAATGAGGGAATGCTTCTTCCATATAACATGTTATCATTAAAGTACTACAGAGTATGTAAATATGTAATCATATTCCTTTCATTGTGTATGTTTATCTCTGTTTAAAAGGGTATAGAACTTCATTCTAATTGGTTGTCATTCTTTAAAACTCCTGTCTTCAGATTCCTGCCAGAGGCTATTTCCCTAACTTACTATTTCGTCTCTTAAGGTGCATTTTATCTACTTTTATTAATCTTCCAATAATTTTCATCATCACACATTGATTTTCATCAATAACTATCTAGTACTTCCATTCATTATCATAGAAACTAAATGGATTTTAGTTTAATGTGTCAAGTAGATTACTGTCAAATTCCCAAGTTCCTCATCATCATTCATTTCATTAGGGGGAAAACATCAGTTGAAAGAGTAAAGAAAAAGGAGTTCCAAACTTCATTCTAAGAGAGGAGGTAGTCAAGGCTGTATTCTGTAGAACCCTGTGAAATTTACCACCTTCCAACTTGACGTGAATTCTGCACTCTTAGCAGGAGAGGACAGATTTACTTTGTTTTGCTTGTGGCCACAGAGGTCTGTTTGATTCTTTTTTGCTCATATTCTTTCTTGTACCTGTGTTCACGATTTTGTGGTTTCTTTAGTGATTCTTTCATAACTTCTAGGCTACAGCAGCCTCCTTACTTTCATTGTGAGTATTAATGGAAATATGCTCATATGCCTCTTCTTAAATGTCTAATTCTTCTTAAATGCTGTTACTGTATCTTTATCTTTCCATTTACCGCTGTACTATAGCTGAAAAGAATAAATCCAGTTAACGAACCAGGACTCAAAAAGCATGACTTCTTGTAAAGTCCTAGGGATTTTTTGTATATGTTATTACTTTAATCTAAAAAAAGGGATATAACACTTGTAGAATTGAATATACAGTACTAGGTATGTTCGTTTAAGTTATCAGGTGGGTTAATAATGAGAAACTGGTGTGCATGTCTCTTTCTTCACTACTAATACTAGAGATTTACATATTCCTGTAAGAAATTCCCATTTTTCAACATGAACCACTAATATGTTTGGTTTTCATTAATGGCATGCTAGAACTAAACATTAAATTTGGCATACTATTTAAAGATCGTAATTATCCACAAGTTGGGGGTATCAGTGGAACTTAGTTTTGTCATCACTGATCATTTGAAACAACTCATCCTACTTGTGGATCCAGGTCACAGGGTCTTACAGACTCTAAGCTCATTTTAGGTTTTCAACACCTGTGTAAGGTATGTTTTAAATCTTTGACATTCCCTAAGTATTCATTTTAATTACTGTGCCACTAAGTTTTATGATTCCTTCCGATTGCTGTGGGGGAGTGTGTTGTTTTAATGTCATCATTTCGACAAGGAATGTTTAGATCATAGTACCTAGTGCTAAGTTATAAAAATGGCACTATTTTAGAAAAATTTAATAAAAATGAAGTAAACAAGGTTTTCTGTAAAGTTCATATTTTTTTCCTTTTTTTTTTTTTTTTTTTTTTTTTTTTTTTTTT